ATAGTGGCACAAAGTTTGAGATATCAATTTGCAATTTATGGTAAGATTAAACGTTATTATTTGAACTAGGCCAATTTTCTTTATTAGTTGGAATTAGTTGCATCAGGTTTAAAAGTTGATGTAATTTACACTGGCCTTTTAAGGACATACAGATACACAATTAACAATATTAAATGCTATTGATAATGTTTCCCTTGTAAATAAGCTCAAACTTTTTGGTGTAACTACTGTAACTCATTCCTTGTTATGGTTCAATTCTTATCTTACTTTCTGATCTAGATTGTAAAATACATAGTTATTCTTCTTCCCACATTACCATTACCTTGGTTGTCCAATAGGGAGAAAACTCTTCTTTGCGGCTATTTAATATACTTATTAACAATGTGCAATGTTTTTAATTCTGTAAATTTGCACTTAGCTAATGATCTGAAGGTATTTAATATTGTAAATAACTCTTCTGGTTGTATAGATYCCCAAAGATGCATAGAGCATAGATAATTTTCATGATTGGTGCTCAAATAATGACTTAATCATTTTATACAATCCTTTTTCTGAATACATTCACTTATACATTTTAATTATTTTATTAATTCCACCTCTAGTTCCAGTCTTCACTATAAAAGATTTAGGTATTATTTTTTCTACCTATCTATCATTTAATGATTATATTAATTATGTTTTTAGTAAATACTTGGATTTATAAATCGTAACACTATCTGTCCCTCTAAAATGTATATATTAAACACCATATATATGTTACTAGTTAGCTCGGTGCTCTAATACGCTACTATTATTTGGTCTTCTCATAAAATATCCTATATTAATCAAATAAATAAAGTACTGCAATGCACCTATTTCGTTTATTTAAACCGAGTGGCGGTTAATATTTATACCAAATCCTATTCAGTTAAGGAGTAGTCGGTTATTTATTTCTACTACACGAATCGGCCTTGAGAACTGGGCTGTTGGATCAATAAAAATAAAGTTTCCTAAGTTATATTTTACAGTTCTTAGGAACTTATGACCTGCGTTCATAGACTTACACAATTTAACAGGGTATATTAACAAAGACAATATTTATTTAATGATTGACTAATAATTATGTTTGGTACACTATTACCTATACTCTGGWCTTGAGGGTRGTATATTAAAGATTACAGGAGTAGTGTAGTATGAGTTTAACAATTTAATTATGTAGGCTTGACCGTGGTTCAGACTTGATCGTGTTATAGACCCTATTGTGTTTCAGACTCGACTGTCTGGCTGTGCCAATAATATATATTATGCTCGCAMTCTACGTTCCTGTGTTCTGTTAACCTAAGCAAATTTACTGAGTGTGACATAAATGACGAGTCAATAATCTTTAAATTGTTACAGTACAAAACAAGTTATTAAAAATGAGCTTATTTCTTTGCTCTGCAATCCATGTAAATTTAAACCTCTAACTGAAAGATGAGTTGATTTTKATGTTACCTTTATTTATTAATTATTTAATATTGATATTGATGCTCCAGACTTACTTTCTAAATTATCATTAGCAATTTCTTATTTTTATTACAGAAATTCTCAAACTTTTAGAACAAAATTTCTTTCCATAACTCACTATTATAAGTTAACTATTATATCAACATTTTCTTGTTATTTCTTACTATTTTTCTCTTTTTACCTTAAATTATAATATATTATCAGACTTTGTACTGTACTTATG